TGATGCTTTCTATGCAAAATCCCATAGAAATTTCAAAATTTTCGAATTCCCGCAAAGTAGCCCAAACATTTACCTTTGAGGCCCCAATGCCAAGAAAAAAATATGAGGGCCGCTGCATGTACCGTTCGGCCGTTATCTCGAAAAAAAGTCTCTCGGTTATGAATTGTCACCCTGTATATAAAGCAATGAATAGTTGATCAACTATAAAAGTTGAATCATTCAACAAACCATTAAATTAGGAAATAATGGGCTGAAACAAGTTCCATCAATTGGTTCCTCTGTTCGATAATAAACATAATCAAACGGATAATTTGAAAGTGATTCATTATGTTCTGAAAATAAAAAATTGCTTAAATTAACAGATTGATTCATAATGGGAATAAGTAGAGATGAAAACCCTTACCAACTAAATATTTAACTTTTCTAGTTCGCTCCGCAATTAAATCGCTCCATTTGTTGCATACTAATAGAATCATGAAATAATGAAACATTCGTAAAATTAATGAGATTAATCGCTCTATCTGAATGGCTTCAGCTTGAGTCAAATGCGAGTCTCTGATTCAGAAGTGAAACTTGCTCATAACAAGCAAACAAACGAGAATTTGCTGAATAATTTGCTAGTGAATATCAGCTCCTTGAAGATAGTCCATAGGCAAAGACCGTTGATCTAATACTTTGCAAAGTCGTTTGGCTATGTGTTTCTTTTTTATTAGATAAAACAAAAGAACAAGAACTGTTTGAAACAGCCTTACCTTTATAGCAGTTCAATAAATCATCCAATTCATTTATTTGACCAAAAATGATGAGCAAACATTCGTCTGGAAGTTCATTGATAAACATTGCTCAAGCTATAACAATCACTTTTCAATCCAAATGTTTCGATCTAGAGATTTGATTGATTTCAAAGAATATCAAATTTAGTAGAACTTATCTATTCATAAACATATGATTAAAGAAATAAGGTAAATTAGCGATGAAACACATCAACAGTAATAGCGCTCTTTTGCGAATATTTCAAGTTACTTGCAGTTTAGCTACAGGTTACGCCATACGTTTGTTTTTACAAAAAGGAAAGACGCCATCTATTGATTAGAAAGCTAGAAAAATGGTCAGAAGTCGAGCAGACGATTAAGTTAAAAAAATTAAAGAAAATTAGTGATGGCAAATGTAACAGAAATAACACTTGTTTAAATCTCAATTTACTAACGAGTTGTGAGTGTGAGATTCCAAAATACACTCAAACCTCTCATAATGAGACCCTCCGATAATGAGACAATTTCTGATCAGAGTCATCTATGGACTTTATAATCAAGTAGCGCTATGATTTTACCTTATTTTTTTATATCATCTATGCCGTTTATAATGCAATAATATTGTTTATAGTTAGTTAAACATGTTTTTTGATGATGATTGAATCATTATTGGTTAAATAAAAATGAAACCGGATTAAATATGTACCATAATCGATATAAAAATCATTCGTTCAAATAGCTTCTGTGGGAATAAGCCTAAAAGCTATTCACAGAGAGTCTCATTATGAGAGGTTTGAGTGTAGAAAAAAAAGCTAAAATGAAATCGGATCCCGGATCCAATATTTATCCATCAAACTTGGCTCAAATTAATATCTTGCTCAAAGAGTGAGAGTTATACTCTTTGATCTTGCTAGAGCCAAACTTACGTAAGAAACAAATTAATTAAGTAGTTGAGCGTTGATTGGTTTGCTTGGAATTGATTTGAAAATTTAACTTCGAATAATTCGTCTCCATTACCACAAACCGATGCTCATCATCAGTTCTTCTTTATTCAAAGGTTATCTAAAGAAAACTTTCACATTTCTTGATAGAATCGTCATAGAAGTCTTAGTCATAGTGATCGACAAAATGGGAATAATTTACCACTAGAAGGCTCAAAGCTTAACAACCTGTAAGATTCAACCTCTTCAAATGATCTTTGTATTAACGAAACCGACAATGTTCTGATTCAAATTGTCCTGATTTTATTCGATATTGAGTTATCTTCCTGATGCATGTATCGTGAAAATATATTGTGTATTGAAGATACCAATAAATAAATGGTTACATGTAATTATTTAACAGAGCTCAACAGAACCAAAACTTAGTCTGAAGCTTTTGAACTTATCGACCGAAAATGGTCTGCTTTGAGAAAAGTTGTTAAAATGTTATCCAAACAAAACTTTCTGATCGAATCGTGTAAACTTAAAAATTGTGATCGACAAAATGATAATAATTTACCGCTACGAGACGTCCGACGATGTATCAGTGAAGTTGAAGGATTGGATGGATTTTGGATTTGCTATTTCATATCGAGGATTTCCTGATTAGATATTGCCTCCTTCCTCTCATTCTTGTAATCAGGTTGAAACTATTAAATAAAGTTCTGATTATGTTTTCCTTTTAAAAGTTGATAAGAGTTGAATTTACCTGAAAATGGATAATTATATGACTTGCGTTGAACAATCTCTAATGATACTTATATTGATATCACAATTCCTTAAACATAAATAATAGTCAACAAATTTGGTATCATTTAATTTTAAACAGATCGTGATTGTATTTATATTTAGATTTGATTAATGTGCTTGAAATTCAATTGTAATTAAACCTATCGGTTATTTATCTCTTAATTGAAGTTGACAATGAAATAGTGTGAATTGTCCGTATTTTTATTCTATTTTGAGTTATCTTCTTGATACATATCGCTAATATGTATTGAAGATATCTATAGATAAATGGCTACATTTGATTATTTATTCTTCACTGGGAATCAAGAAAGTAGGAAGACTATTAAAATCTTTAAGAAAACAATGTTTCATGAAATCGAAACCTTGACTTATTTTTCCACGTTTAGATGATAAATGAGGCCAATCTGATTCTATTTCATGGTAATTTCCATCAAAATAAAATTTGATTGATCGTCCATATAGTTTATTGTAATCTTGAATATAAGCAGCAGCCTCTTGAGTGACTTTTGGACAACAACGAACATCGAATAACACCAAATTGGGTAAAATGTTAACCAATTGCAGCACACCTTTATTTTTTAGGCTCTGGTTGTTCCTCAGTGCAAGATGTTTAAGATTCGGATATTTCATTAACAAGCTTTTCGATTGATTCCAGTTGAATTTATGAATATAATCATTCGTGTCCTGTGCATATAAAGATTATTTAATTAATATATTAGTTGAATTTAGATACTTTTGTCATGATGAACCTCTTTTATTGTGTTTGATTTTGGAAGAGATTTTAAGAAAATTTCACATCTAAGCAAATACATAAAAAAACATTACAAATTGTAAAACTAAATCTTGCAAAGATTCGTGTTTCAATGATCCATCGCCAACAATCCGATTAGAGTACAATCTAATATGTGCACTTTGTAAGTTTGGACATGAATCCATGAAATGGAAACCATAATGAGCGTCATAATTAGCTAAGGACAGTTCAAATATTTTGAGTCTGCTTAATATGGGACCATCGTACAACGAATCTGGCCAGTCTTTGGATAAAAGATGAATTACAATTACCAAAAATTTCTCCAAAAGTATTTCAACATTACCAAGCCTATTATAAATGTGTAGTCTTTCAAGATTTGGAAAATAATGGGCATCTGTTGTGAATACACCTAGAAGATAACTCGAAAGTAGCAATTGTTTAATGCTGGCGCTATTATTTGCCATGCATGTCTCAATGTAATTCGCTGATACCATTTCGAGATCATCACAGTATTGGAAAACTGATTTATCTCTGTTATGAAATCGATCAATTATTCCTTTTAAAGATTTATTCTGTTTGACGAATGTAACAATATCTTCATGATCTACTTTTTCACGGAGTTTCCAACCAAAATTGGCAATCTAAGGGTATAAAATATATAACAAAATTAATATTCAGCTAACAATAGAAGTTCAAACATTCAACAAACCATCAAATTAGGAAAAAGAGCGTTCAAACAAGTTCCATCGATTGGTTCCTCTGTATGATAGTAAACATAATCAAACGTATAACTATACCCATAATCTTGATATTCTGAAAATATAAATCGCTTAAATGATGAAATTGGCTCACATGAGAATATGTTTCGATAAAAATTTTCTTCTTACCAACCAAATATTTAACTTTTCTAGTTCGCTCTGCAATTAAATGGCTCCATTTACTGCAAACTGTAAGGAAATTTTCCATTAAATTTCTAGATCTTGTGTTGGTCCGCTCGATATTATTAGATATATCTGAATGACTTATAACTAATGTAGTTGACTAGTGAATTTAAGTCAGATAAGCATTGAAAGACAATCCATATACGAAAAATCATTGATAGACTTGAAGACTAGAAGTCTTGTGACTATGTTTATTATATAAAAAGAAATTAAAATGATTTGTGTAAAGTAAACTTACCTTTATAGCAGTTTAATAAGTCATCCAATTCATTTATTAAATCAAAAATGATTAACAAACATTCCTCTGGAAGTTCATTGATAGACATTGTGAAAGCAACTAATGCTTAAATCACTTTTCAATACAAATGATCCGATCTAGAGATGTGATAGATTCCAACAAATATAAACTTTACTAACAGTTATCTATCCAAAATAACATATAGTTGGGAAAAATTAAAGTAAATTAGTAAATAACATGAACGGCAATAACACTTGTTTAAATGATATTTCAATTAACGAACGAGTTTTGAATGTGAGATTTCAAAATAGAAAAAAAGCCAAAATGAAATCGGATCCCGGATCCGATATTTATCTATCAAACTTCTCTCAATTGAATGATTAGACTCATATCATTAGAGTACAAATGTAATTGAATTTAGATTAAAATCAATTGTCCAAAATTAAACATTTGAAAAATGAGCTCTAAAAAGTCACAGCTTTTATTAAGAAAATTTTAAGCTTACTGACCACAAATGGTCTGCTTTGAGAAAATTTCCAGAGGCTATTCACAAAAAAGTTTCTGATCTCTCATTTGATGCAAGGTTCTCATTTGTGATCGACAAAATGTGAATAATTTACCTCAATAAGACTCAAAGCATGGGAGTTAACCCCTTCAATTTACACTTAGCATCTTACTTTAATCGAGTTTTCTTAATTATATGCTTCTCATTGATTTAGGATCCATAAATATAGCTTGTGGAAGGATCTTCATTATCAGATTTGTCACATGTTTCACTTTTACTAGTTACTGATAAATTAGATCGAAAGCAATTTCTAAAATGAAAAATTCACCAAAATTCGGTCCAAAAATTTTGAACCTATTGATGGTCTGCATTGAAAAAAATTCCAAAGGCTATCCGAACAAAACTTTCTCATTTCTCGATCGAGTGGTGTAAATTCAAAATTTATGACCAACAGAATGTAAATAATTACCCGCGACACCCTGCGATTTAATAATAGTGCGTTGAATGTATCTTTTTATGTATGCTTTTTCAAATCGAGTATTTTCTGGCGAGATTTTAATACTAGTAAAGTTTTAATACTTTTCCTTTTAAATGAGTTGATTAGAGTATAATTTTATCAAAAAATGTGCCATTTAATGTGTCGAAGCATCTATGATAATACTTGATATACCTGAGATTCCGAATCACCAATCTTTGAGCATAAACAATGAGCATCTTTGAATAAACATAAAAAAATTTTATTTGGAAACAAAATTAAGACTAATTTCTTATCAAATTAGATCAAATTACATGATTCGGTGTGTTATTGTCGTCCCCGAAAGTTATGTGAATAATCCTCATTTTTATTTGTTTTAACGTTACCTTCCTAATTAATAACATGTATTGTAAATTTAAGATATCAATAAATACATGTGCGTTGGTTATTTAGTCCTCATTGGAAATTAAGAAAGTAGAAAGTCCCTCAAAACCTTTGAGAAAACAATGTTTCATGAAATCAAAACCTTGACTTATTTTTTCCCACTTTTTTGATAACTGAGGCCAATCTGATTTAATTTCATGGTAATTCCCATCAAAATAAAACTTGATTGTTCGTCCATGTTGATTATTATAATCTTGAACATAATCTGCAGCCTTTTGAGTAACTTTTTGACAACCACGAACAGCGAATAACACTAAATTGGGTAAAAAGCGGATCAAATAACCCACTTGTCGATCATCCAGGCTATCGTTGCACCTCAGTGCAAGATGTTTGAGATTTGGATAATTGCTCAACGATCTTCTCAGCCCTTCATAGTAAACTCCAAAATGACCATAATCAGTCTGTGAATAAACAGATTAGCTAATTAATATTCATGAATTCAGATAATATTTTCATGATCAATAAATTACAAAAATATTCCAATATCAGCAAATGCGTTTCACATCAAATCAATACTTACAAATTCTATAACTAAATCTTGCAAAGATAAGTGTTTTGATTCATTGACGAAAAAGTTTCTAGAGCACGAGTCAATATGTGCACTTTGTAAGTTTGGACATGAATTTATGAACTGGAGACCATAACACATGTTCTCGTTCATCTGAGAAGCTAAACACATTTCAAGTATTTTAAGTTTTCTGAATATGGGACCATTGTAGTAGTTGTTTTGGCCTAGGGAAAAAAGACGAATGTCACTCATCAAAAAATATTTACAAAAAAGTATTCAAAAGTTACTTTTATAATCCAACTTGCCAACTCTCTTATTTTTAGCACATTTATGCATAATCTTTCAAGATTTGGAAAATAATGTCCAACTTTCGCTAGTGAATTTAAATTATAATTGCATAGCTTCAATTGTTTAATCCAAACACCATTCTTTTCCATGTATGGCTTAACACAATAGACGGATACCATTTCGAGTTGATCACAATATTGGAAAATTGATTCATCTTCGTTATCACGTTCATAAATTAGTCCTTTTAAAGGATTTATCTTTTTGACCAATGTAACGATATCTTCATCATCTACTTTTACACGAAATTTATCACAAATTTCGGCAACCTAAAGAGAAAAATTATGTAATAAAATGAATAATCAGGAAACAATAAAGTTGAATCATTCAATATACCATTAAATTTGGAAATAATGTGCTCAGACAGTCTCCATCAATTGGAAAACATGTTGAATAATAAACATAATCGAACGGATATCTTGGAGGGCCCATTTTAAACATTCCATTTTGCCAATATCCATGATCTGAAAATATAAATTACTTAAATGAGGAGATTGATTCACAATAAAAATAAGTCATGATAAAAAATTGTGTCTTACCAAACAAATATTTAACTTTTCTAGTTCGCTCTGCAATTAAATGGCTCCATTTGCTGCATACTGAAATAAATGAGATTGGTAGCTGATAAATTAATGGATATAGCTGAAAAGCTTCAACTGGCATCTGACCAGAGTCTCTAATCAAAAGTGTAACTTAATACTAAAAAAGCTTCAAATTATAAAGGCAAAAACGAGAATCTTGTTACAAGATGCAATAGCTATACTCTTTTATTATTTTAAGCGGTTTTCATTTCATTATAAAATACAAAAAGTGCATTATTTGTTTGAAACAGACTTACCTTTATAGCACTCCACCAAATCATCCAAATCATTTAAGAAACCAAAAATGATGAGCAAACAATCGTCTGGAAGTTCATTGATAAACATTTTGAAATCAACTTGATGTTTAAGCTTAATGTTTCACTTGTTAAAACAGATAGCCAAGTATTGTACCAGATAGATTGATTTCAACAGATAGAAACTTTAGTAACAGTTATCTATGTTTAAACATATAATTGGGAAAAATTAAAGTATATTAGCGATGAAACACATGAACAGAAATTACACTAGTTTAAATACTTCGAAAATTAATGAACGGTTTTTGAAGGTGAGGTCAAAAAGTTGAACATAAGATAACATAAGAGATCGCGAAAAACTTTGAAGCTAGATTTAGGTATTCAGTTCACTCGCAGGTGGCGCTGATAATAAAAGCGCCATCTATTGTACTGTAATATAAGTCTGGTGAACTTTGAGTCTCAAAGTTTGAGGTTTGCTTGAAAATGGAGACCCAATTACCCAAATGAAGCTTTAACATGAAACACTCAGATCTCATAAATGGTTACAAGTACTCATAACCTCTTCTCATGATCATTGATCTCGTGAAGATTTACATTGAAACTGAGACAGTTCTTCTTAATTCAATCAAAAAAACAAGTTAGTTAAACGACTAAAGTAATTGAATTAGGACCAGAATCAATTTGTCAATGTTGATCATATGAAAAATGAGCTCTACAGGCCAGAGCTCTTGGTTCTAAATTTTCTGAGCCTATTGACTGTAAATATTAATAATCTGGGTTGAGATAAATCGCGAATGGTGTGAGTCGCAAAATTTGTGATCTCTAGAAGACTCAAAGCATAAGATTTAACAACTTCAATTTTAACGAGATTCTTGTGAATCATTTTACATTATTTCATCATTACATTATTGTACCTTATTTCATCAGGCAATGTATGCTGCATGTTTCTAATTTTCATGCTGCTTCAATATTTTCTTTGCATTAATGCTCTTGGCCTACCATTCCTGTACTAAGGTTGAAGCTAAACCGAAATTACCTTTATAGCAGTTTAATCAATCATCCAATTCATTTATTGAATAGCAAACAATCGTCTGGAAGTTCATTGATAAACATTTCGAAATCAACTAATGCTTAAGCCTAACTATTAATATTCACTTGTTAAAACAGATAATGAGATCTAGAGATGTGCTTGATTTCAGCAAATATAAGATTTAGTAGAAGTTACTTGTACACGCACATATAACTGAGCGAAAATAAAGGTTATTAGAAGAAAATTAGATACAGAACACAGCAAAGAAATAATATTTCAAGTTACGAGCGTTATGCGAGATTTAGCCAGAAATGAGATTGGATCCTCGATTCGATATCTAACTACGAAATTATCTTACATTAATAAGGAATTGAGAAGATTTAAATTGAATATCGTCAACCAATTGAGCAAAATTTTATGAAAAATTTACCTTGGACACTTTTGAATCCGATCTGCTGAATCTAAAGAATGAAATCAATTCTGTTTCAAATATCTTTTTATTGAATTTCTTATGTTTCTTGAAATTTATTCCACTTGAGGGTACAGTATTTTCAATATTTATCGATATTACATTTTTAGCGTCGAAATATCAGCAACAGTTTGATAAGTTATGTTCATGTTATTATTAATATTTCATGAAGAAGTAGGGAAATAAGACTGTTTATAAGAAATTGAAATGAGATTCTGTGATACAAAAATACGAATACTCAATTCTCCAGCGTTATAGGTGTTAACACTCTGTAATTTCACAAAGATAGTCCAAGATTATGATCGATTGTTTAGACTTTTGATAAAGATACCAATAGACAAAGGTGTGAATTCAGTTATTCAGTCCTCACTAGGCATTAAGAAAGTAGGAAGGATGAAAAAACTCTTGAGAAAACAATGTTTCATGAAATCAAAACCTTGACTGATTTTTTCACGTTTAATGGGTAAATGAGGCCAATCTGTTTTAATTTCATAGTGATTATCATTAAAATATAACTTGATTGATCGTCCGTGTAATTTATTATAACCTTGAACATAATCAGCAGCCTTTTGAGTGACTATTGGACAATCACGAACATCAAATAACACTAAATTGGGTAAAATGCGAACCAATTGCTCAATATGTTCATTTTCCAGGTCCATGTATCCCCACAATGAAAGATATTTAAGATTTGGATATTTCATAAACAATCTTTTCGTTTCATTCCAGTCGAAACTAGTAGGACGCTCCACTCCATTCTGTGAACATAGAGGTTAGTAAATTAATAAAGATGAATAAATACTTTTGTTAACCTCTACTAACTAATTAATACTTACAATTTCTATAACTAAATCTTGCAAAGATTCGTGTTTTACTGATCCATCGACAAAAATACGATGAGATTGCAAGCAAATGTGTGCACTTTGTAAGTTTGGACATGAATCCATGAACTGGAAAGCATATTGAATGTCTGAACAAGAAGATAAAAATTCAAATATTTCAAGTCTTCTGAATATGGGACCATCATAGTATTTATCTAGATTGCCTGAGGATAAAAGATGTTATTAGAAAAAATTCTACAAAAAAGAATTCAAAAATCACCTCTAATATCACCAATGTGAAGTCTTTCAAGATTTGGAAAATAATGGGCATCTTCTTTGAAAAAATCGATCTTATAGTTCCAAAGGTGCAATTGTTTAATATTGACACCGTTCTTTTTTATGCATGGCTCAATGGTATTGGTGGATAACATCTCGATTTGATTACAATATTGCAATATTGATTCATTTTCGTTAGAAAATTTATTGATGATTCCGTTAACAGATTTTATCCTTTTGACAAATGTAACAATATCTTGGTATTTTACTTTTTCACCAAATCGACAAGAAAATTCGGCAATCTAGAAAATAAGATACATAAGAAAATAAATATTCAGAAAACATTAAATTCCAATGATTCAACAAACCATTAAATTAGGAAATAATGTGCTCAAACAAGCTCCATCCATTGGTTCTTCTGTTTGGTAATAAACATAGCCAGATGGATATCTTGGAGATACATCTTCATCCCACGGATCAGAATGTTCTGAAAATAAAAAATCGCTTAAATTAAGAGATTTATTCATAATGGAAATAAATAATGATAATAATTTGAGTCTTACCAACTAAATATTTAACTCCTCTGGTTCGCTCCACAATTAAATGACTCCATTTGCTGCATACTGAAATAGAATTTACATTAAATTACTAAATTTTCTGCTTGATTTGCTTGTTTATTATGTGATTGTCTGCACTATTAACACACGATAAAACATATTTAAATATTATGATTCAACAGTCAATATTCATATTGTGTCACATGTTTATTTATAACATTGTTATAATCCATATTCAGATGATATATCACTGATAATAGTGACATTAATCGATATAACTTTTCATAATATTGTGTCTATGTTTCTATTTTATTAGATAAAATCAAAAAGAACAAGATTTGTTTGAAACAGACTTACCTTTATAACAGTTTACTAAATCATCTAATTCATTTATTAGACCAAAAATGATGAGCAAACAATCGTCTGGCAGTTCATTGATAAACATTGCAAAAACAACCAATGCTTAAGTCTGTTTTCAATACAAATGATCCGACTTAGAGATGAGATTGATTTCAACAAATGTAAACTTCAATAACAGTTATCTATCCAAGATAACATAAAATTGAGGAAAACTGAGAAGTAAGAAAGTAAAAACAATTAACAGAAATAACACTTGTTGAATGATATTTCAATTTACGAACGAGTTTTGAATGTGAGATTTAAAAATAGAAAAAAGCCAAAATGAAATCGGATCCTGGATCCGATATCTATCTATCAAACTTCGCTTAATTGAATGGTTAGAGTTATTGAATTTATAATCTAAATTTTATTGAAATCAATCGTCCAAAATTGACCAGATGAAAAATGAGCTCTAAAAAGTCAGAGCCTTTAATTAGAAACTTTTTAACTCATTGACCACAAGTGGTCTGCTTTGAGAAAATTTTCAAAGGCTATTCAGAAAAACTTTCACATTTCTTATTTGGTGCAAGTTAGGTGTAAGGTTCTCATTTGTGATCAGTAGTACCGTTTCATACGCTTCTGAGGCCCAGACCGGAAACAGAATTAACCACCACCCCCCCTCATGCATGATTAATTTCATGGTCTATTGAATTTACACTTGAATGATTTAACGGTTGACCTACACTTGAATGATTTAACGGTTGACCTTGAATACCATCTTATGGTCACTATTGTTCTTAATGCTTGAATGCTTCTTCATCACTACACTAACTGTCACGTGATCTATACTTGTTCCTTTGATTAAGGCTGAACCTGGATGGAAGAAGGGGAAAGAATGTTTCCCTTCTGGAATAAACATGTATTAATGAATGATGATCACTTGACCGTTTTTTACACTTGATTAAGGCTGAACCTGGATGGAAGAAGGGGAACGGACGTTTCCCTTCTGGAATAAACAAGTAATGTCGATCACCGTTTGTTTCACTTGATTAAGGCTGAATGTCATGAGAGAAAGCGGATGTTCAAACAAGTATAAATAGCCAATCTCAAAATAATAATGCTCAATGATGTATGCTGTTGCCTATGTATCACTTTTAATACTAGCCTTAATTATTGTTTTAATATTCAAAGAATACTTTTATATTGTTCTCGATGCGCATTGTTAATATAGTATCATTGTGGGACCTTGGAAAAAGGATTCCTTTAGCAGCAAGAATTAAAAGGTTCAATGCTGATTTAATTAAAGAAGGAAGCAATTGTTTATTACTGTTTGAAACTGGTAAAATAATTGCTACAGGTTTTAAAAGATTTAGTGATGTGAAAAAATTCATAAAGTCACGCTTCCCGAGCGCAAAATTCGTTAAAGTTGTAAATATGACATCACTTGCTCATATTCGTGGTAAAATCAATTTATCTGGCCTTTCTTATGAACCGGAAATCTATCCCGCTCATGTGTGGAAGAAGCAAAACCTTTGTGTTGTATATTATCCTTCCGGAAAACTAATTGTTACTGGTGGAAAAACTCATAATGAGCTTCGTGAAGCATATCAAGAGTTTAAGCAAAAGACAAGTATAAAAAGAGATGAAGGAAAAGAAAAAGATCAGTAAAGTATCTGAAATCATAATGTCAACATTAAACTGGCACTCATTGAAAGCTGTTAAAATAAACGACCTCCGTTTGACCATTTCATGGTCCACAGATGGTAACAACAGAGTTTGTTGTGGTCGTGTTGATTTACGTTTATTTGTCAATGATTTCCCAACAAGTTATGGAGTGAACCTCAAGCGTTGGGAATTAATTCAACTTGGTGTCTTCATCACAGAAGTGCTTAAAGGCAACACTCCGTGTCAAAAGGTTGTTGATGAACTAACCATCGAGTCAACAACTGGTGGGATCATGTTGCTTAAACGCAAACATCGTCTGTGCATCCAAAACAAGGATTTACCTACTCTGGAAATGTATCTTTGTGGAGTTATTTTCATTCTGAGTTTATTAAGACCAGAAGAATTTGTCGCATGTATGGTTGCAGGCCGAGCAATTGAAGATGCTTTCATCTTTTCAACTTTGGTTAAAAGTGAAATTAAAAGTATCGATGAAGCATTTAAAGAAGAAGAAATTATAACAGGGAATAAACTTCCTGTGGAAACCGTTAAATTTCTAAAAACCAATTGCGTAAAAATTTTTGACCTGTATATGAATAATTTTGGTGAAATGATTATACCTGGAGGTCCATGCAACCGGAACGATTTCATGTTGAGAATCAACGGTGAATTTTTGAAAAATTTGCGCGGTCTCTATCAGGATTATCCTCCGCTCCTTCGATCACTCACTCTTCTGATGAAAAGCATCGCAGAGTATAAATAGAAGTGACAAAAGCGAAATTCTCATATTCAACAAAAATGGATTACATTTGCTGCTATTTCGATGTACAAGGCTTCTACGCTAATAATTTGTTTTACCCTCGTGAATGTGCGGTGTTAAGTGATCATGGCGCAAGCGTATTCAGTGTTGACCACGAGTTAAAGATGGATCAACTATCAGCCAGTGATCAACGCCAAGCACAGTATTTAACACGTCGACATCATGGTTTACCTTTCGAAGTTGAAAAAGGAACCAAAATTGAAAGTATTAATGATATTATCATTGCATTTTATGAATGCAATCTTGATGATGATCATTTTCTTTGCGCCTGTAAATCTAAAGAGGCTGAAGCGATGTTGAGGACCCTTGGTATTCCTAGATTGAATCTTGGAAAGCTAGGTGCAACTTGGAGTAACATAAACACTCGGTTGGAACCTTATAGCTTACATATTAAGCCAGGAAAATGCAGTCTCAATGCAGTAATCGCTATGAATAAATGGGTGAAAAACGGCCCTGAAGACGACGAACCAGGTCGTGATGTCTGTGGAAATATGCCCTAAATATTGTAATCGAAATTATATAAGTTTGAAATATGTAATCCGAAATGTAATCGAAATTCTCAAATTAAAAAATGTCTTATAAAATTTATTTACGTCATCCTTTTACTATGCTTATTGCCGGACCAACGGGAAGTGGTAAAACTGAATTTGTCAGAAAATTGATCATAAAAAGAGAAACAATTTGTGATCCAGCTCCGGAAAGAATAATTTATTATTACAGTGAATACCAAGAAATTTTTGATTCAATGTTAAATGTTGAGTTTGTTAAAGGTTTACCCGATGAAATAAAACTAGATAAACGACCGACTTGGATAATTTTTGATGATTTAATGTATGAAGCATCAAATTCAAAACTAATAGCTGAATTGTTCACAAAAGGAAGTCATCATAGAAATCTATCAATAATATTAATTTGTCAAAATTTCTTCATGAGAGGAGCTGAAAGTAGAAACATTTCATTAAACTCTCAATACATTGTTTTGTTTAAAAATCCAAGAGATCAATCTATCGCAACATCTTTAGCTAGACAAATGTTTCCAACTAAAATTGTAAAATTTCAAAAAGTTTATGAACATGCCACATCACAAGCATTTTCATATCTATTCATTGATTTAAAACCTGAAACTCCAAATGAGGTTAGGTTACTGACAAATGTTTTTTCCATACCAATATTTGCCTATCAACTTGTATAAGTCGAACAGTTTTGGTAATCACCATCAAAATGACCGTCAAACAAGCAGTTGAAATCTATCCAACATTACAAAAGCTTGCAAGGACAAAGAAAAAGACTGAAAGAAAAAGTATTTTATCTTCTTGTCCATGTAAAGTTTTTCATGTTTTGTCTGAAATTGCAAGAAATATTTTGAAAGGTGTTATCAAAGTACCGAGACATAAATTAAAATCATTAAAAGTATATAAGAATGATTTGAGAAAAATTGCCAAACAAAAAAACAGTTCACGAATTAAAAGAACTTTGATTCAGAAAGGAGGCTTTTTACCACTATTAATAAAGCCAGCTTTATCATTATTAGCTTCAATCGTTGCGTCAAAAATAATGAAAAAATGAACACAATAACACGCATGTTATTAATCCCAGAGGATCAATATAAAGATCCATCCAACATATTGTTTGAAGCAAATATTCCTAATGATAGGAAAATAAGATTATTAAACAATTTAATGTTGAAAAAAATGGAGAAGAAACCTGAGCAAATTAACATGAAAGCAATAATCGAATCAAATTTAACAGCCGAACAAAAAGCAAGATTGATTGATAAAATTCAAAAGAAAACAGTAGAAATTGGTGTTCAATCCGAAGAAGCTGATGATCAAGAAGAAAATGTTTTTTCTACACCTAGAGGAGAATTTTCAACTCCTTTTTCACAACAAACAACACAACAAACAACACAACAAACAACACCAGTGAATTCATCTTCTGCTGCTAGGACAAACCTAATGCAAGCTTTTGTCACAGAATCACCAAAGCTTGAAACTGAAATAGACAGACCACCACCACTTTCTCCGAGGAAGAGTAAAATGCAACCTTTTCAACCCAATATTGGAGAAGTATTAGCTCTTGGAATAAAAAGTATTCGTGGTTTGATAGATAAAATGGTCAAGTCATAAACCTGATGGGAAAGCTCTTTATAGAAGCAATTTACAGATGATGTTAATTATCTATTAGAAAATCAAATTGCTAGAAAACCAAACGGTGTTGATCTAGTTGTTGCTGCTATAAGGCAAAACAGACCGGGTTTATTGCAGTTTATCAAAAACCCCGGAATTCAAAGTAAAGATACATGGAAAGAATTACAGGAGCAATCCGAAGCGAGTACGTCACGCCAGACAGCACAGGAAGCTTTGGTGGAGTCAGAAGATTATTCGAGAGCGTCCAAAAGGAAGCGTCGTTAAAACAAGTTGAAGATTGGTTGAAGAATCAGGATACTTATATTTTATTTAGACAAGTGAAGCGAAAATTTCCTCGGCTCCCAATTTTAGTTAATAAAATTGATGAACAATGGCAAATAGATTTAATGGACATGTCTTGGTTATCAAAATTCAATGATGATAAAAAGTATTTATTAAATATTATTGATTGTTTCAGTCGTTATGCTTGGGTAATTCCATTAAAAACAAAAAATGCAAATGAAATCGTTGAAGCATTTAAAGTTTTATTACAAGAGAGAAAACCTGATAAAATACAAAGTGACCAAGGAAAAGAATTCTTAAATTCTCAAGTTAAAAAATTATTTGCAGACAATGGAATAAATTTTTTTACTTCTACTGATGATGTTATCAAATGTGCAATTGTTGAGAGGTTTAATCGCACACTAAGAACCCGGATTTATCGTTATCTCCATTATTATAATACTAGGAGATATATTGATGATTTACAGAAAATAGTGAAATCATACAATGATTCTTATCATCGAACTATTCAAATGTCACCAAGTCAAGTTACACAGGAAAACTCAACACAAGTTTTATTAAATATAAGAAAAACTCATCCAGTTAATCATTCGAAACAAAAACCATTCAAAGTTGATGATAAAGTAAGAATTGCAAGAGCAAAAGGAATTTTTGAAAAAGGCGCCACAAGTAATTTTAGTGAGGAAATTTTCACGATAAATAAAGTTAAAAAAACACCTCAAGGATATGTTTATCGCTTGAAAGATTATGATGGAGAAGATATAACATCTATTTTTTATCATTATGAGCTAGCTAAAGCTAATGAAACAAGTTTGTATAAGATAGAGAAAGTTATTAAAACAAGAATAAATCCAAAAACAAAAAAGAAGGAATATTTTGTAAAGTGGTTCGGATATCCATCGAAATTCAATAGCTGGGTGCAAGATGTTTTACCAACCTGATGAATATTATATTGAGGCAGTTTCTAATGCTTCAACAAATTTGTTTCCAGAAAACTCATTAACAAAATTTACGAATCGTCTACAACATGCAATTGCTCTCGATGGAGATTGGGTTGTAGGAATTCAAGAAATTTTTTATCCAATAGACTTGACACAGGGTTCAAGTGACGTGACTTTTAATATAATAGGTGGTGGTCCAAGCTCATATTGGATAACCATAACTGAAGCTGATGATGTACAAAAATTCGTTAATAAATTTAATGCTAAAGTTTCAAAAATATTTGATAAACTCAAAAGTGATCTTCAAAAATCAAAAAATGCTAATAGGGTGCAAGGGATGCAAAGTGATCAAGCACCACAAACTGAACAAGTACTATCTCCAGAAGGGTTTGAGTTTGTTGTGCATGGAATAGTGAACAATCAAACATATGACATTTTTACAAAGGAGCTTTATCTGAATAATCTTTATGCTCTTCATAAGAAAGAGCGAAACCCTAAAGAATTGCCTGTTGATGTAAAACGTCTTAGTATTGAGGCTAAATTAATAAACGATAATCTTGAATATACTGATGAGAAAAAAGAAGAATTGATTACTAAACTATACGAAAGAGTAGGAAAAACTCGAATGTCAGAAGAAATGTTCCTAGCAGAAGAAAAGGAGATAATAAAAAATCCTGATCTCTCAGAGGACGCGAAAGATAGAAAATTGGAAGAACTCTATACTTCTCAAGGTCGTGCACCGCCACCTAAAAGAGCAAGAAAAGACCCAGATGTAGCAAAATGGTTCAAACAATTCAATGCAAAACGACGGGAATTATCTGAAAAAAATAAAGAGCTCAAGAGGAAAAATGAAGAACTTGCTTCAAAACAAACTGAAATAAACGACTTGTTTGATAAATTTACAACCGCTGAAAGGAAACTCAATACAAAACTCGATGAGATTAAAGAATTGAATAAATCAATACAGAGTTTCGAGAATGAGAAAACACAATTAAACAAAGCCCGGGATGATCTTTCGAGAGAAAAACAAGCTTTAGAGAGAGAAAAAGTAGAACTTATGAAAAGGTTGAATAAAGCTGATGATGAGATTAAGACCAAGAAAGAAGAAATTTCACGTCTAACAACAGAAGCAAACAAAGTGAATCCTCTTGAAAGACAACTTGCTGAAGCAAAAAGGAAATATGATGATTTGAAAACTGAAAAAACAGGAATCGATCAAGCATTGTTTAAGGCAGAAAAGGAACTTAATACTAAAAAGGAAGAAATCAGACGTCTCACAACAGCTGGTAGGGTTGCTGACAAACAGAAAAATGAATTTGATACCTTACAAAGACAATTTAATGAACTATCAGCTGAAAAAGCTAAGCTTGATGGAAAATTGAGGGACGCTGAAAAAAATGTGAATGATAAAAATCAAGAAATTTCTCAATTAAAAGAAACAGAAAGAAAGTATGGTTCATTAAAAACTGAGAAAGAAGGACTTGAAAGAAAGATTGCAGAAACGGAAAGAAACTTGAGTACTTGTAACAGTAAAGTCGCTGATTTGGATGCAAAGAAAGCGAAAATTGAAGCGTTAGAGAGAGACATCACCGGAAAAGATCAGCAAATGAGAGATAAACAAATCGAAGTAAACAACTTGACCGCTGAACTAACAAAAGTTAAACAAGCACTTGACGAATCTCAAAACAACTTGAATGTAACCAAAGATGAATACACAAAAGAAATTAACAAATTAAAGGTAGAACTTGGTCTACAAGCTGAAAATACAACGGATGAAGTGACTAGTGATAAACCACCAAGATTAGAATATTCAAAAGGAGTAATATCGATGATAAGAGGGTGGTTAGGAAACATTAAATTGATTCCGAAATTTAATGATGCTGCTTTTATAAATGCTCTTGGTTTTATTGATGATCCTAGTGAACAGTTGATTACAAATCCAAAAGTAACTGCATCTAGGCCAGCTGATTTGAATGCAAGATCAAGTTTAATGTTTGTTTATTCAGATATTGTTGCCCCTCATTTTGTTGGCGATACATTTACGAGAGTCTTAAGAATTTTACCTCTAAAAAGAGGGCAAAGACATGAGATTGTTCATGAGAGATTTGTAAAGCCTTTTTATTATCCTGTGAGGACAAATCAAATTGAGGATGTGAATTTCATTTTGACTGATGAAACAGGAAATCCAATTAAATTTGCTTCAGGAAGGGTGGCAATTGGTTTACATTTAAAACGCTTTGTATAAGTAACTCCTCCCCAAAAACTTTGTATAAGGTGTATTTTTATTTTATGAAAAAAAACAAAATGCAGCGTAAAGTTTATTGTCCAAGACATTCAGACTTCAAATCATATTATTTATCCCAAGCTGGACAAGGATTCTCTGATATTGAAATATTTAGAGGATCTCCTTATCAGCGGGGATATGGATTTGGAAGTTTATTTAAAAGATTTGCAATCCCTGTTTTAAAGTTTCTTGGAAAACAAGCAGTAAAAACAGGAATTAACGTTGGTCAAGATTTATTGGAAAATAAAAATTTAAAACAAACATTGAAAGAAAGAGGAAAAGAAAGTCTTCGTAATCTAGCAAAACAATCAATTGATAAAGCAAATGTTATGCTTGCTCAAAGTGGAAGTGGTGTTAAACGAAAACGGTTGTATAAGAAGAAGAAAAAAGCAGTTAAAAGAAAAAAGAAAGATATTTTCGATTAAACATGGAGTATTTACATCCTTCGTCTTTACCTGCAAGTAAAAGTGAATTATCATTATTCACTGTCCCTCCCACACAAGTAGCTATTGATTCTTCTTATGAAGTAGAATATAGACCCTCTGCATCTTTAGAAAGCTCTAAAGTACACACCATTGATGTTCCCGCATCTGAAGATTTTACTGATCTATCACAAACAATGGTTCATATTAATCTTGAGGTTCATGATAAGGACGGGAAAAAAGTAAAAACCGCTGATATTAAAGGTGTGGAAAACTTTGGAAATGCTTTATTTGATCAAGTTGATTTTTTTATTGGTACTGTCAATACATCTCAAGCTACAAATATGTACCATTATCAATCTTATATTGAAAATTTATTGTTCCGTCATCCAACAAAAGCTGATGCTGGACGTTATGATACTTCAAATTTTCTTAAAAATAATGTTGACTTATATTTTAGATTACATCTTCCAATGTGTCAACAAGACAAATTACTGTTGAATGGCATTCCATTATTATTCAGATTTACAAGAAGCAGAGAGAAGTTCCCATTGATCCACATAACTCAGGATGAATATACAATAAAAATAACAAAATTAGCATTGCATATTAAGCGTGTTAAATTATTTCCAGATACACAAACGGGGATCATATCTGCACTCAAAGAGTCTCCTGCAAAATATTTCATCATCAGAAATGTGGTTAAAAGCTTCTCCATGAATAAAGGTGTGTCAACAGTCAACATTGAAAATATTTTCTCCGGGATTTTACCAAGAAGAGTAATTGTTGGATTTGTTGATGAAACTGCTTTTGCAGGTAATAATTATAAAGATCCCTATTGGTTTGAACATGCAAATATTACACAAATTTCTTTAAATGTTGATGGAAATTTATACCCATCAATACCATATCAACCAAGTTTTCCTGATAATTGTATGCGTGAATATGTCAATTTATTTAGATGTTTGGGACAAGATGAAGGGATCCCTCAACTTGATTTAGATTATGAAAATTACAAATCGAAAAAAACACTGTTCGGATTCGATTTAGGTGGTGGACTCGGAGGTGAAACAGGATCTTTATCTTTGATTAAAAGAGGAGCTGTTAGGTTAGAGCTTCGATTTGCAGCGGAGACAACGAGTTCATATAAGATCATTGTTTTCGGGCAATTTGATAATTTAATTACAATTGATAAAGATAGAATTGTAACACTTGACTACTAATGTTGACAACTATTGACTTAAAGCGCATGCTTCGTGGTGTTAAACACTTTGGCGGTGTTTTCCCAAGTGATAAATTACCTTTAGTATTGAAAAAGCCATCAACTTTTATTATTAATTTAGACCCTAGTTACAAAGAAGGGTCTCATTGGGTAGCGGTAAACTTTGATAAAATCGGAAATTCACATTATTTTGATTCTTACGGCCGGCCCCCAGACGGAAATATTGTATCTTTCCTTGAAAGATTTTCACCTAGAGGATACACTTACTCAACCAACAAATATCAAGATGATTATTCATCATCATGTGGATACTTTTGTGTTCTTTTTGTATTGCTTGCTGATGATCAGAACAAATTTTACAAAATTTTTGAGAAATGTAAAACACTAAAGAATGAACGAAAATTGTTACAAATAATTAAAAATTTTATTGATTAATTTTATAATGTCCATCAGCATATGAACTTATTTTATCATTTAGAAGATAACGTTTATCTTCAAAAGGTGAAATTGCAACCTTTTCATTACAATACATGGAAATTTTATGTTTATCAGATCCAAAGCGTCTTGTGATTTATTTATGTATCTTTTCATTGTACAGACAATTTTTATAATCTTCAAAATTAATTTTGTTTTTTACGACATTTTTTTGAACGCCTTTAGCTCTCTTCTTCTCTCCGCTTTGTGATTTTATACAGTAAAGTTTAGGTTTAACGGCAATTACTTCATGGATGACTTCTCCTGACATTTCATCTTTGAGGCAACCAATTTTCTTTTTATTTTCGCTTGAATAGAGTGGATGATCATTGGGCAAGTCACCAAAGTCCATAATATCATTAAATTGTTTCATGTCAGTTATTATGTTGTTGGATTTAATTTCCAGTAAAAAAGAATCAGTATCGGAATAAACAAGTTGCACTTTATCACCATAGTATTTTTTAAAACGGCCATAATAAAGTTTGTAAACATGGAGTTTTGAGAGCTCAAGAACAGTAAATCCAGAAACAATAGCCTTATCCATTAAAACACATTCAGGTTTCAATTGAATCAGCATTTTATCTTCATCAATAATTTTGAATCGTGTAGCAAGAGGATTAGCAATTCTTTTTGTAGCGACTCTTTCTCCCATTGCAAGTTTAACTTCAATATGTTTTCGCTTGTCCTCCATTAGTTTCCCATAGATACTGTTTACAAATAATTTATAAAGCGATGAAGTGAATGTTGTTTTTGCTTCTTGACGCTTTTTCGTGCAGAATTGAATGTAAGGTTTCAACCAGGCTTTTTGTTTAAATGAAATTACTCGATGTACTTTGGCAACTTTTAATCCATTTTCAATGTAAAACTTTAAATTGCGAAAATGCACTGAATATCTTCTCCTTGTCAGAAATGTTGAAACCAGTTTTTCACTAGGAACCGGTTTAAGTCCTTGCTTCTCAAGTTCATCATATAACTTTTTAGCGTAAGGACTTAACATTTCATGTGTAACTTTCATTTTATGAGGGGCCAAAGGAAAGTCATTATGAGCATCATGGAGTTCTTTAGGGTACTCTAAATCGATTTCCAAAATGTATCCAATATCACCATCATCAGGTGTATTCATTATATGCTCAAGTAGTTTATCTTCATTTGAAAAATTTACCCATTTATATTGTCCAATCGGTAACATGTCCATCATTGCATTACCATAAAGATTATTTACATCGAAATACATTAACCATGTTTGTTGACCACCATCATAATTTGTTGAGGGATTATTAGCAATGGCGTGACGTTTAGCAACCGTTGTAAAACCTCCTCTAATGTCACCTTCAATGAATAACAACATATCAAGTTCCAAAAATAATTCAATTGATATTTTTGTCATTTTTAAGGCAGCAGCATATGAAAGACCAGGACAAGTCATATAATGTGGCGGGTCGATCCCAAAATCATCTATACTTGTTTTTCGAAAGTTTTCAAATACTGCAGCGAGCATCAAAACATCAAGTCTCAAGTAAATATCAATCAATTGTCCAAGATTACGACAGTTAAATTGTCTCCAAATTCTTTTTAATCGGTCATACATTTCTTGTGAAATGTTTGTGTCGTTCAATGATGAGTAAAATGCAGACATTGGTGGTAATGCTTGATCCTCAAATTTATCAAGGGATGATAAATATTCATAAGGTATTGATGCTTTTCCCATCAAATCTGTTAAATCATGTCCTGGCCATTCTTGTCGTAAAAATTCTTCTTTTTCAGTGTTTGACAAGTTGGAGCTCAGAGTATCGAGACTTCCAGGTAAAAAGGCAAATGAGTCGAGAAAAGCAAGATTATCGACATACCATCCAATATACTTTTCCATTGATGAAGGGATAAGTTTTAAATTTCCGGTAAATGTATTACATTTGATTGAATCTATCAATAAATGACCATCATAATTCTTTAAATTATGGAAAAATATTGGTATTCGATTCGGAATTGAATAATTTACATTACAGGCATTATGTGCTGCGCCTCTAAATTTCCCAGTTAAATGATCATGGTCACGGACTCTGTCATCATCAAGAGGCTTTTCACAAATCCAGCAGTTTGTTGTACTTTGAAATGTTGCTTCTTCATTAGGTGACATTTTAAGAGGTTTTAATGAGGTTTTTAAATAGTCGAGAGCAGATTCAATTGATTGTTTAAGATGAGTTAGAAATTTAGAGACAATATTTTCTCCATGGTCAAACTTTTTGTCGATGATTTTTCTGTCCCAATCAACAACAATGTATCCATAACTACATGGTTCATGGTGGAAAGGTTTCAATGGATCATTTGTTGGGACGATTAAACATTCAAAGTCACAGTAAATTATGATTGGATGCTTAATTTCTTTTTTCAGGTTTGATCTTTCGCAGAAATTCCGTCTTGGTTTATAAGGTGTAGGGTAAGGCATTACAATTTTTTGTGCGGGTTTTGCTGAACAGTCAATCATGTGTTTTTTCAATTGAAATTCATAATGCCAGCCGTTTAAACATCTTTCACAATGATATCGCCGGTAATTACTTTTTGAATTTAATAGGCGAGCAAAGTTTGTGATTAAATAATAGTGTTCGTTGTATAAAAATAGTCTGACATGAGATGTGAATTGATTCTTTGTAATATAAAGGGGAATCACAAATTTGTTGGTTGTGTTGTAAGTAAAAACACTAATTGATATTGCGTTTTTCTTTTCAAAGGATTCAACCATGTTCAATTCAACTTGACCTCGCCATTTTGAAAAGTCATGTGAGTTGGTAAATTGGTCATATTGATGATAATTGTCGGGATGATTTTCTCTTTGATGAAGAGCAGCTAAAATTGAATACATAAAGCAATCAGTTTGACATTTGATTGAAAGTAAACAATGTTTTGAGACAAGTTCAGCAGGCAATTTATTCTGATGACAGCCTCCTCGATGAGGTTGATAATGAGCAATCCAAACATCAATTTTGCTGATATCAACAATCGTAAAGCCACTTCCTCGTTCAGTGTATTGATCTATTATTTCTTTCATCTCCGTGAAAGTTTCTTCAATTTCATTATTGATATTATCACCAGGTAATAATGGTTTCATCGTTGAAGGTATTTCTGCTTCAATCAATTCAATCATGCTCATTTTTTGAAAGTAAACTTTTAAAATCAAATAGAATTTAATTGGTCCAAGATCATCAAGATTATGTTGTAGCAAATCCTTAACTTTAGCTTTTTGATGACGTTTCACAATGTCAATGTCAACCATATCACTCATTTGTTGTGAAAAAACACGGAAATGGCGGCGAAAAGCTGAATGAATTAGTTTGAATGGAGATGAAAAAGAAGGATTACGTGGGTTAAGTAAAGAAATACTCCCACAAACTCTTTGATGTGATCTCAATCTTTGTTCGCTTGAATAGTGTCTTCTGCACTTTGCACATTTCACTTTTCTTTTCAACTCTTTTGGAGTTGCTCTTGTTGATGGTGCATCTTGTATTACAGGCTCTTTATCAAAGAATATTTCCATTCTTCGGCAATTTTCTTTGCAAGAGCAATGATGAAGTAAATATTCACTTAAAGGTTCACTTTCTTTCCCACAGCATGGGCACCTCAAGCAATCTTTTTTTGGTGGTGGTTCGTCGAAAAAGATGTCCATTCTTTTACAATTGTCTTGGCATGAGCAAATATGGTTCAAATATTCAATTAAAAGTTGAGTGGAGGTACCACAACAAGGGCAATTGAGACAATCTGGTTGCTCTTCATTTTGTTGTTCATTTGGTTGTGTATTTTGTTGCTCATTTGATTGCCTATTTTTTTGCTCATTTGGTCTCTCATTTGATTCCTCATTGAAAATTTCAAACATTTTACAGTTTGCCGATTTACATTGACAAAGGTGGTTTAATAATTCGCCCAAGGTGATAAATTTTTGCTTGCAGCATTTGCACTCAATCTATTAAAAGATAACTTATATATTAATTCCCGAATAAAATAGACGTTTAAATTGAAATTGAAATGAATCTTTATTGATTTTGAAAAGAAATTAAGATTTTACAATTTTATAATATCTTTTGATTGTGCGTTTGACTGTCCAAACATGGCAGTCAATTAGCTCACAAATATTACGAGCGTGCTCGTTATCAAGGCGAGCTAAAACTCTTCGCTGTGCTTTGAGTTTATTAAGGTCCTCCATATATTTGAAGGCCTTGTTTCTTAATCTAATTTGCAATCTTTTTCGGATTGCGTTCGGGGCCTTTTTCTTAGTTTCCTCTAAGGAAACCTGCTCCATATGTTGGATCATGCAGTTGAGGTTTTTTTCATCAAATGAACTAAAAGAAAAGCCCGCAAAACGAGCGGCAATCTCCTGAAAAGAGAGAGAAAAGGAAAGTTGAGAAAAGAGAAAGGTTAAAGAGTATAACAAGTTGAAACTTACGTTCATTTCCACGTCGTTTTCTTGGTTGTTATCCATTTCATAATCCATTTTATTGATAACTTAAAAGTAATAGCAAGGGACTTGAACAAAAATTAAAGTTTACTTATTGAGAGTTGATATAAAAGTGACCAAGTTTTGTCAATGTACACTTTGAATAAAGCTTGAACATCTGTGTAATGGAGTGAGTTTTTGCTCATTGATTGATACACAAATGAATTAACGGATATTTTGTCAATAAATTTGTCGCACATGAATTGATTCTTGACCATTAAATTATGCTCAATGTTTTTAATTCTTGACCGTTTGAAACAATTGAGTGTTTGTTATTGTTTGTGATCACTTTGGAAATATTGAGTTAATAGTAAAGGAACCTATTGTGTTTAGAATTCGGCTTGTTCATGATATCTCCATGTTAATGATATTTGTCGTTCAGTTCTCAAGTATTATGATAGATTTTGATAGTATCTATCAAATGAATATATTCTAATTCATTTCCAATGGCTTTAGAGTAAATAATTAGGTGATCACATTTTCAGCCGATAATTTCGGCTCTGGATTCACAATTCATAATAGAATTGAGTTGGATACTTTTTTGCTTTTGAATATGATGAATCAACATAAATGAATCAATTTGATGTTTGAATCATCTTTCTAGCCGGTCAAATAAGCTTGTTATTGATAGTAAGCCATTTTTCAGAATTTCCATGATATCTCCATGTTAATGATATTTGTCATTCAGTTCTCAAGTATTATGATAGATTTTGATAGTATCTATCATATAAAATCATGCTTAAGCATTTGATAACAGTTCAATTGGGGAAAACAGCAAAAATAAGGTCTCAAAGTTAAACATCCCCCGAAACATCCCCCGAGAATGAAGAAAAACATCATTGAAAAGTATGCATCCGAGAAACAAACTATTAATGTCTATCTAATTATTACATTTTTAAGCGTATGTAATTAGTTTAAATTGAAGAATTTCAAACATCCCTGAAGACAAAAAGAAACATGAAAACCAATATATTTTTAAAATTTTTTATTCAAAAATGTATTAAATTTTAATACATGAAAATCATGCTGTTCGTACATGAATTGGTTTTAATGATGCTGGCTTTTCCAGATCTGGCTCTTTCTCCTTACGCTTGGCGCAAGTAGCAGGTCTATCTTTATCGCCATTGATATGGCGAAGGCAATGGTCACTTCTTCCTGGAGTGAACTCGATAAAACAATAAGGGCAAGCGAAAACTTTTGCCCCTTTATTTTGTTTTTTCCTTTCAAGAGTTTTCTTTGCAAGCTCCTTGATGGTGAAAATTTCAGGGTCCCGAGGCTTTATCGGCAATTCGATATTATCATCACCCATATTGTATTCAGAGGATTTACTGTACCATGCTGATTTAACAGCGATATATGGTTCACCATCAATTTCCGTGATATGGTCAGCTTCCACCTCATAATCAATCTGATCATATTTTACCAGTGATGGAGTTGGTTTAGGTGCATAGGGCTTGGCCACTTGTCGTTTAGCTCTTTTCTAATATACAAAGAAACGAAACAAAAAATAAACGAAACATTAGAAATCATGTTAAAACATATATATGTTTCTACTTACGTTGGGGGCCATTATGAGAGATTAACAATTGAAATTAATGAAATGAATTTAAAACACAAATTATTTTTCAGTTGGTTTAAGATAACTTAACGTGCTTTTACCTGTCTTATTCGGGTTAAAAACATATGACCTTATGTTGCTATGCAACGGAAAAGTGGCCTGCAAGTGAACTCAATAGCGGGTAATTCAAGTGTGAAAAGCCGTTTTTAAATCACTCAAGCGTAAATTCAATAGACCATGAAATTAATCATGCATGAGGGGGGGTGGTGGTTAATTCTGTTTCCGGTCTGGGCCTCAGAAGCGTATGAAACGGTACTACTGTGATCGACAAAACGGGAATAATTTACCTCGATAAGACTCAAAGTATAAAAGTTAACCTCTTAAATCAATTTCTCATAAATTAATTAACCTTTACCTCTCATCCATAGTCCATATGAATATCCTCAACTCAATGTTGATTCTTCAGCCTAAATAGGATTAAGCTACTGGGTTTCGAAGTACAGTTTGTATAAAACTTACACTTTCGAGCACTCTCAAGCCAGTTTAGTAAAATATTTAGGATTAGTACAAATCGAAACACAAAGAAAGTATGCAAGTTTTGCTTGGTTAGCTTTTATATTTCTAAATTCAGAACAATTCAGGTTAGTCGACAAAATCTAAAAAGTGAACATTGCAATGCGTTTTTTATCAACTTATCATTTTGCAATCGTGCTCTATTTGATTCTGTGATTATCATTGATTTCACATTGTCAGTCAATGCATTCTAGATTCAAACTAATTGAAACTGACAATTTCTTCCATAGACTAACATGGACTGAATAGCAAATTTCAAAGTGATAGAAATAATTTTAGCAATAAAAATTTGTTTTAATATAAATAGACTTATTAAAAATCGCAGATAAATTACTTTTTATTCATTTTTGATAGATTAATGCATTGTTCATATAAAAAGTAGAAAAATAAGACAGTTTATAAAAAATTGTAATAAAATTCTGTGATATTAAAGTTGACTCAATTTTCTAGAATCAAAAGCGTTAAAAGTGTTAACACACTGTAATTCACAAGTACTGTTCAAATAATGACTGATTGCAGGGACTGTTTATAGAGATACCGATAGATAAATTTAGGCATCAGGTTAACTAGAGACTAAGAAAGTAGGAAGGCTACGAAAACTTTTGAGGAAACAATTTTTCATGAAATCAAAACCTTGACTGATTTTTTCACATTTAGTGGATAAATGAGGCCAATCTGATAAAATTTCCTGGTGATTATCGTTGAAATAAAACTTGATATATTGTCCATGTAGTTTATTATAATCTTGGACATAATTAGCAGCCTCCTGAGTGACTTTTGGACAATCACGAACATCAAATAACACCAAATTGGGTAAAATATGGATCAATTGCTCCACATTTTTATTTTTCAGGCTATTGTTGTTTCTCAGTGCAAGATGTTTAAGATTTGGATACTTCATGAACAAGCTTTTCCAATCATTCCAGTTGAAACTATGATTATAATCAGAAAGATGCTGAGCAAATACAAATTAGCTAGTTAAGACAGATACTTTGTATTATAAACCTCTTTTATTAGGTTTGATTTGGAAATAAATTAATAAATAAATAAACTTATACATTACAAATCGAATGATACTTACAAATTCTATTACTAAATCTTGTAAAGATTCGTGTTTCACTGATTCATCGACAAAAATACGATTAGGTTGCAAGTAAATGTGTGCACTTTGAAGATTTGGACATGAATCTATGAACTGGAAATTATATTGAATGTCTGCACAAGAAGATAAAAATTCAAATATTTCAAGTCTTCTGAATATGGGACCATCATAGTAGCCATCTGGATAGCCTGAAGGATAAAAGATGAACTTCTGTTATCAAATTTGTTCAACATATAAAGTATTTAAAAATCACCATAATAATTATAAATGTATAATCTTTCAAGATTTGGAAAATATTGTACCAATTCACTGAATCTATCTAGTTTATAACCAATAAGGCGCAATTGTTTAATGTTGACACCATTCTCTTCTATGCATGGCTCGATGTAACTGGAGGATACCATTTCGAGTTGATTACAATATTGCAAAATTGATTCTGGTTCGTTATAAAGTTCATCAATTAATCCTTTTAAAGGTTTCATCTTTTCGACCCATGTAACAATATCTTCATATTCTATTTGATCAAGCAATCCAGATAAGTCCGCAATCTGAGGAAATAAGATGTATAACAAAATGAATATCCAGCAAACAATAAAAGTCCAATGATTCAACAAACCATTAAATTGAAATAATGTGTTCAGACAAGATTCATCAATCGGTTTCTTTGATTGATAATAAACATAGTCGAACGGATAACTTGGAAATGGCTCCCTATCTGGCCTAAATTTTCTGTTGATTTGCTTGATTATTGTGTTATTTTCTGCACTATTAATACATGATAAAACATGTGCAAATATTATGATTCAACAGTCAGTATTCATACTGTGTCACATGTATATTTATCACATCGTTATAATCCATATTCAGATGATATATCGGTGATATTATTGATATCACTTTTCATAGTATTGTGTCTATGTTTCTATTTATAAAATAAAAAGAACAAGATTTGTTCAAGACTTACTTTTTTAGCAGTTTAACAAATCGTCCAATTCATTAATTAAACTAAAAATGACAAGCAAACAATCGTCTGGAAGTTTGTTGATAGTCATTGTAAGGTAAAACTAAGGCTTAATCTTAACTAATCACTTTTTAAGACAGATGATTCGATCCAGAGATGTGGTTGATTCAACAAAAGTATTTTTTAAAGAAGTTATCTATGCATAAACATCTAATTGTCAAAAAATGAATAAACAATTAGTCTATGTGACTTGAAATTTTCGATAGGATACCGTGTAAATTTTGCTTAAGTGCGTATCAGCAGCTAAAAAATCAAAATCTTTATCTACTCGACCATATCTTGCGAGCTATAGAACATCAAAATCGGTTGGTATCATTTCGTGAAGTTCCCTTGTTAGTTTTGATTAAAGGAGGTCAGATCATTCTCAAAATTGTATGAATCTGTGACCTTTTCATCAAATGATCTTCTTTAATAACATCGTGAATACATATTGTGCTATTTAAGCCTCATTAGAGATCAAGAAAGTAGGAAGCAAACGAAAATCTTTAAGAAAACAATTTTTCATGAAATCAAAGCCTTGACTTATTTTTTCCCACTCAGTTGATAACTGAGGCCAATCTGATTGAATTTCATGGTAATTCTCATCAAAATAAAACTTGATTGATCGTCCATGTAGTTTATTAAAACCTTGAACATAATCAGCAGCCTTTTGAGTGACTCCACATCCACGAACAGCAAATAACACTAAATTGGTCAAAATACGAACCAATTGCTCCACATGTTCATTTTCCAGGTCCTTAACTCTACTAATTGCAAGATGCTTAAGATTCGGATATTTCGTAAACAATCTTTGCCAATCATTCCAGTTGAAATTTTCATAGTCATAATACTGTGCATATAAAGATAAGTAAATTAATATAGATTAGTTCAGGTACTTTTGTCATGATGGACATTTATCATTGTGTTCGATCTGGAGTATAATATCAAGATTTTTTAACAAAGTAGCAGATAAATTTCGCATCAAAATTACTTACAAATGTAATAACTAAATCTTGCAAAGATTCGTGTTTTATTGATTCATCGACAAAAAAGTTCGGCGTCATCAAGTAAATGTGTGCACTTTGAAGATTTGGACATGAATCCATGAACTGGAAACCATAATTAATCATTCGAGGTTTATAAGAAGAAGATAAGGGCATTTCAAATATTTTAAGTCTGCTGAATATGGGACCATCGTAGTAGCCATCTGACCAGCCTAAGGATGAAACATGAATGTCCATTAACAAAAATTTCTTTAAAATATATTCAAAATTACCTTTGTTAAATGTTGTATTAATGTGTAGTCTCTCAAGATTTGGAAAATAATTTGCATGCGTCTTGAATTCATCTAGAGTAACATTGCCAAGGCGCAGTTGTTTGATATTGACACCATTCTTTTCCATGCATGGATCAATGTAATTGGTGGATAACATTTCGAGTTGATCACAATATTGCCAAATTAATGCACCTCTAGTACCTTTGTAATGTATTAATCCTTTTAAAGGTTTTATCTCTTTGACCAATGTAACCATATCTTCATATTTCACTTTTTCACGTAAGCTGGAAAAATCTGCAATCTAAGGTAATAATATGTATTACAGAATGCTATTAAACTATAAAAATTAATTATTCAACCAACTCTTAAATTTGGAAATAATGTGCTCAAACAAGTTCCATCAATTGGCGCCTCTGTTTTATAATAGACATAACCAAACACATTTCTTGGAAGTTGCATAGATTGGCCGTAAATATTGGCTGGAAAAATAAATTGTTTAAATTAGTCGATTTATCAAAAATGAGAATGAGTATTCATAATCGGAGTCTTACCAATCAAATATTTAACTGTTCTAGTTCGCTTTGCAATCAATTGGCTCCATTTGCTGCAAACTGTGATAAAATTTTTATTAAATTGCTAAATCCTCTGATTTTCTTGATGATTATGTTATCAAAGTAATTGATTAAGAAGCAAATGTGTAGCTTGTTAGAAAAAGTGCCACAATTATGATTTAAAAAACAGATGTGAATCATCTTGCATCTTTTGTGTTGTACATTAAGATAACATGTTATGACAGATCTTATGTTATCAGGAGATAGAAATACTGTTTTGTGTAATGATTTTTTTTAAAAAAACAAGCATTCGATAACTCGTGTTTAGTGCATATCCGAGAATCAAACTGAATAATTGACCATTGACTACCAATTAACTAAGATAATACAAAGGCGAGAAAAAACATTGATTCACTTTCCATAGTATTGGGACTAAACTGCTAACAACTACTTGTAAGACTAAATAGCAAAACTCTTCTATTATTTAGCGAGATTTCTATTTTATATAATTCAAAAGAAAGTGATTACTTACCTTTATAGCAGTTTAATAAATCATCCAATTCATTTATGAGACCAAAAATGATGAGCAAACAATCGTCTGGAAGTTCATTGATAGACATTGCTTAAGCTATAATAGTCATTTCTCAATCCAAATGGTCCGATCTAGAGATTTGATTGTATTTATAATAATATAAACTTTAGTAGCACGTATCTATTCATAAACAGATAATTTAAAAATAAGGTAAATTAGCGATGAAACACATCAACAGTATTGGCGCTTATTTGCGATTATTTCAAGTTACTTGCAGTTCAGCTACAGCACACGCTATACGTTTACAGGGTGTAGTTTTCAAAAAGGAAAGACGCCATCTATTGGCCAGAAAGCTAGAAAAATGTTCAGAAGTCGAGCAGACGATTAAGTTAAATTGTTTACACCAGTGAACTGTTAGATGTGTCAGTCGCCCTTCTGAAACTGCACTTCTCGTGAAATAGCTTATTTACACTATTTTTCGTGCAATATACATTTAACCATTTTTATTTAAGACCAAATTTAACCTGGAATGTTGCTTTAAACTGATTTCGCGAATTTTTGGATTGATATTTCACGAAAGAAAATTGAATTGAGCCAAGTGATAATTAAAAAAATCGAATCAAAAATCAACAAAATGCAAAAGTAGATCTAACTCCTCCTTAATAGGGACCATTGAAAAAAATAAGTGCAGTTTCAGAAGGGTGACTGTAGTTAAATCGCCCGATTTAAATATTGTACCGAATCTTTGTTTATGATTTATTTATAAATTAAGCTTCAAACAGTTCGTTTCCATCACCTTTTCTGGCAAACCGATTCACATTGACAATGAAACAGTTCTTCTTTATCCAAGCGAGAAAACAAGTTTTCTCTAGAGCTTTTAACTGATTCGTTGAATTGCCATCTTTCATAAATTAACGATCTTTACCCGTCATTCCTGTAATAAGGTTGAAGTTAGAAAAGTTCTGACTAAATTTAGTTTTGTTAGTTTTGATGAAAGGACGTCAAATCGTGCTCAAAATTGTATGACTGTGTGATTTTTCCTCAAATGATCTGCTTTTAATGTTATTTAGTCCTCATTAGAGATCAAGAAAGTAGAAAGTCTATCAAAATCTTTAAGAAAACAATGTTTCATGAAATCAAAACCTTGACTTATTTTTTCACGTTTAGTGGATAAATGAGGCCAATCCAATTCTGTGATTCTGTAAGGGTAATTCTCATCAAAATAAAACTTGATTGATCGTCCTGATTGAACAGCCTCCTGAATCACCTTTGGACATCCACGAACAGCAAATAACACTAAATTGGGCAAAATGCGAACAATTTGTTCGACATGTTCATTTTCCAGGTTCTTGAAGCTACACATTGCAAGATGCTTAAGATTTGGATATTTCATAAACAATCTTTTCCATCCATCCCAGTCGAAACTTTCATAACAGTCATCACGATACTGTGCATATAAAGATAAGTTGATGAATGGAATAATTCAGGTATTTTTGTCATGTTGGACATCTATCATTGTGTCCGATTCGGAGTATAATATCAAGACTACAAATGTCTAAGACGAAGAAGTATTTCACAAAGAAGCAGATAAAAAATACTTACAAATTCAATAACTAAATCTTGCAAAGATTCATTTTTATACGATTCATCAACAAAAATATGATCATATTGCAAGCTTATATGAGCACTTTGAAGATTTGGACATGAATCCATGAACTGAAAACCATAATAAATGTCTCGAAAACAATCAACAAATAAAAACAATTCAAGTATTTTAAGTCTTTTCAATTTGGGACCATCGTAGTAGCTATCGGACCAGCCTGAAGATGAAACATGAATGTCCATTATCAAAGGTTTGCTCAAAATATAAAAAATAAAATACAATAATATTTGAAACTCACTTCCATCTAAATAAATGTGCAATCTTTCAAGATTTGGCAAGTAGTGAGCATTTTGCTTGAAATCACGGACATGTAGATTCCTGTTCTCAAGGTGCAATTGTTTGATACCATCCTCTAAGATGCATAGCTCAATGTTATCGGTAGATACCATTTCTAGTTGACCACAATGTCGGAAAATTGATTCTTCGTCTCTATAAACTCGATCAATTAATCCTTTGAAAGATTTTATATTTTTGACCAATGTAACAAGATCTTCATGTTTCACTTTTTCACGCAATCCGGCAAAGTCAGCAATCTAAAGTAATAAGGCGAAAATACTATAAAAAATGAACATTGAGCAAAAAATAAAAGTATAATCATCCAACTAACACTTAAATTAGGAAATAATGTGCTCAAACAAGTTCCATCGATCGGTTCCTCTGTTTGATAATAAACATAATCAAACGGATAACTTAGAGATGGTTCATAATTCCACCAATCTCGATGTTCTGAAAATGAAAAATTGCTTAAATCAACAGATTCATTCAAAATGTGACTAATTAGAGAGGAAAATTCTTACCAATCAAATATTTAACTTTTCTGGTTCGCTCCGCAATTAAATGGCTCCATTTGGTGGATACTGTAATGAATTTTCTATTAAAGGACTAAATTTTCCGTTTGACTTGCTTGATGATCATATTAACATTTGGAAAAGTATGCAAATATTATGCTGTGATACTTATAACATTCACCAAATTGTTATAATCGACATTCAGATACTATAGTACTAAGATTAATCGTTATAGCTGAATGGATTTTAACTTGAATAATATTCTCTCATTCATCGTTTAACTTACTTTTGTTTAAAATAAACTTACCTTTATAACAGTTCAATAAATCATCCAGTTCATTTATTAGACCAAAAATTATGAGCAAACATTCCTCTGGAAGTTCATTGATAAACATTTTAAAATCAACTAATGTTTAAGCCTAACTAATCACTTTTCAATACAGATGATCCGATCTAGAGATGAGATTGATTTCAACAAACATGAACTTTTCTGGCAGTAATTTATCACAGACAAAATTAAAATATATTAGTTATATTATAACACATATTAAAACACATTTACATCAATGGCAAATGTTTAAATAAAAACTTGAAGGTACGAATCGGGTTTGGATGTGAGATTTAACTCAATAGTCAGAAAGGAAACAGAATCCTGGATTCGATATTTATCTATTAAACTGGCTTATTGTAAAATTATAACAATAAGTAATGAAGATCTTTGAATATCTTTAACAAGCAAAATGAATGTCAAGCAATTTAATTAAGCAAAATTGTATGAAAACCTTTGTCACTTTAAGAATAAAAAGAGTGAAACTAACACTGGTTACTCTGAGTTACTCTGCATTCAAGCGAAGTGGTCCATTTGGGATTATCGGTATCCTTATTCATGTGTTAAGGTGAAATGGGATAAAGGCAAGTAACATTTACATGTAATTTCAAATTTTACTGACAATCGTATTGTTGTCGTTTTCTAGAATTTATGTGAATTGTTTCAATTTTTATTCGATTACAAGTTATCTTTCTCATACATATCGCGATTACATATTGTGGATTTAAGATGAGAATAGATGAACGCTTATGTTTGGTTATTTAGTTCTCGTTTGAGATTAAAAAATTAGGAAGGACCATAGAATATTTGAGAAAACAATTTTTCAGGAAATCAAAACCTTGACTTATTTTTTCAAAATCAGTAGATAACTGAGGCCAATCTGACTGAATTTCATGGTGATTATCATCAAAATAAAACTTGATTGATCGTCCATGTAAATTACAATAGTCTCGAACATAATCAACAGCCTTTTGAGTAACGTCAGGCCAATATTCAGCACGAACAATCAGCAACACTAGATTGGGCAAAATGCGGACCAATTCTTCAACATATTCATCATCTAGATTCATGTTGCCCACCAGTGCAAGATGTTTAAGATTTGGATATTTCATAAGCACTCTTTTCAAGTCTTTCCATGCGACGCTAGCATAATAATCAAAACCATCCTATGCATATATAGTTTAGTTAATAGAGATGAATTTAGATACTTTTGTTATGATGAACCTCTCTAATTGTGTTTGATTTGGAAAGAAATTCAAGAATATAAGCAAATAAATTTAAAATAAAATACTTACATAGGTCAAAACTAAATCTTGTAAAGATTTGTTTTTTACTGATTCAGCGACATAAATGCGATTGTTGCGAAAGAAAAGGTGTGCACTTTGTAAATTTGGACATGAATCCATGAATTGGAATCCATAATAAAGGTCTTCATCAACATATGGGTCATCATAAATACCGTGGGGAGTAAAAAAGTACAATTCAAGTATTTTAAGTCTTCTAAGTATGGGACCATCGTAGTAACCTATGGGCAAAAAGTTTGAGACAAATATACAAATCATGTGTTAGACATCTGAAACTATTATAGAAGATGATCATTAACAAAAATTTCTTCAAAATATATTCAAAATTACAAAATTATGTACCTTTGTCAGTGGAAATGCATAGTCTTTCAAGATTTGGAAAAAAATGTGCATCTTTCTTGAATTCATCTAGAGTAACATTGCCAAGGCGCAATTGTTTGATATTGACACCATTCTTTTCCATGCATGGATCAATGTGATTGGTGGATAACATTTCGAGTTGGTCACAATATTGGGAAATTAATTCACCTCTGGTATCGTACTTATGAATTAATCCTTTTAAAGATTTTATCTCTTTGACAAATGTAACCATATCTTCATATTTTACTTTTTCACGAAATCCGGAAAAGTCAGCAATCTAAGGTAATATGTATTAAAGATTGATTATTCAGTAAACAATAAAAATTAAATCATTCAACCAACAATTAAATTTGGGAATAATGTGCTCAAACAAGTTCCATCAATTGGCGCCTTTGTTTTATAATAAACATAACCAAACACATTTCTTGGAAATTGCACAGATTCGCACCCACCATTTTTAACCCGATGTCCTGAAAATAGAATTGTTTAAATGAGTTAATTTATCAAAAATGAGAATAAATATTCATAATTGGTGTCTTACCAATAAAATATTTAACTGTTCTGGTTCGCTTTGCAATCAATTGGCTCCATTTGCTGCATACTGTAATAAAATTTTTATTAAGTTACTAAATTTTCTTTTGATTTTCTTGATGATTACGTTATTTCGTTCAATATCAACACTACAGCATGTGCGAATATTAGGATTCAACATTCAAATGATAATATTTATAACATTGTAATAATCCGGCTTTAGTGAGTCAACTAAAAGCTAACTAAAATGACTGAAATTTGAATTTCGAACTCAAGTTCGAGTGTTTTAATAGCTGGTTTGACACTAAACAAAAAAGGGCACAGCTCACTCCTGAAAAATTGAAGAAAATTCTTTTTAATCATGACAATTTTGAATTTTTTAAGAAAACTGTGATTTTTAATATCAATTTATAATAATAAAATTTTGTCATAAAGTAAAAATAATACACCTTTTTGCCTTTACTTTGTTAGTCAGTCAGCTAGCCAAACATAAATTTCCAACTAACAAACCAATTAGTCGACTATTAGCTTAGTGAGTGAAAAAAAATATCATCAAGTTAGTGAGCCGAGAGACTTTCGGCTCACGTCGGTATCTATACCAGATAATGTCAGTAGATTATTCAATAGCCCCTCAAACCCTTTGTTTACATCTCCAATAAGGAAAATTTAATTGAAATTATCAAGATATTATCACGAAAATTGAATATTTCTGATAAATTCAATTCAGGCAACGATCCTCAGCTCAATAATATTTATTTGTATGATGTTTCTAGCAATCGATTTTGATTTATTTAATTATTGCAATTAATTTTAGATTTTTGATAAGTGAATAGACTTGCTGTGGAAATTTGCTATTTCCAGTTACTGCCATTATCTGTTAGATGACAGTAATTGCTTTAAAACAGACTTACCCTTATAGCAGTTCAATAAATCATCCAATTCATTTATTAGACCAAAAATGATGAGCAAACAATCGTCTGGAAGTTCATTGATAGACATTGCTTAAGCCTTAAGCTACAATAATCACTTTTCAGTACATTTATACGTTTATTTTTACAAAAAGGAAAGACGCCATCTATCCAATGTTGTAAATACTTTTTAATGTACTAGAGAGATCCATTGATGGTTACCCTCGCATAGTCAACTTAACTTGAGATGGATAAAAACATTTCTAAGTTACTCTCCAGGTCGTGTTTGATCAGAGAAAAGGTTTAGTTGATTTCTAATTAGTTTTGATTAAGTTATGCCTAAAAATAAAACTTTTTGATGGAGAATTTTTTAAGGTCAAAAACCAAATTTTTGCAGATTTTGCGACTTTACGCGAGTTTAGAGTTTGGACTGTGCACCCGTAATCCAGTCACCTTATTCACCTTATTCAAAAATTGTGATTATCAATCTCTTAAAATCAAAAATTTAGCTTCAAATAATAGTTCGTCTCCATGACCTCTTCTGGCAAACTGATCCACATTGACAATGAAACAGTTCTTGTTTGTTCGGTTGCGAAAAAAATTAGGAAATTATTAAATTAATTGAATTTACATTAAAATTAATTTTCCAAAATGAAGCAATGGAAAAATGAGCTCTACAGAACAAGAGCTGAAGTCCAAAGAGTAAATTAGAAGGGTCAGCAGTCCTGAAGACAAAGGTTGAAGTTTTGCCTTATTCTATCGAAGACAATTGATAAATTAACCTTTATTTGATTTAACCTCTTAAAACTCAATGCGATTCATCAATAGGTATTAAGAAAGTAGAAAGAAGAAGAAAATGTTTGAGAAAACAATTTTGCACGAAATCAAAACCTAGGCTCATTTTTTCACCCTTAGTCGATAACTGAGGCCAATCTGAATGAATTTCACGGAAATTCTCATCAAAATAAAACTTGATTGATCGTCTATTTGATTTACAAAAATTTTGAACATAATCATCAGCCTTTTGAGTGACTCCGTCAGAATCACGAATAACAAATAACACTAAATTGGGTAAAATGCGAACCAATTGCTCCACATGTGCATTTTCCAGTCTATCGTTATGCCAAAGTGTAAGATGTTTAAGATTAGGATATTTCGTCAACAATCTTTTCAAGTCATTCCATTCGACATTTCTGCGATACTAAGAATATACAAATTAGTTAATTACTAATATCGATGCGATCAGATACTTTTGTGATGAACCTCTTTAATTAAGTTTGATTTGGAAATAAATTGCAAGAATAAATCACAAATCAGCAAATTAAAGTAATACTTACAAAATCTAAAACTAAATCTTGCAAAGATTCGTGTTTCACTGATTCATCAACAAAAATGTGATCAGATTCCAGAAAAATGTGTGCACTCTGTAAATTTGGACAGTAATCCATGAACTGGAAACCATAAAACGTGTAACGGGTTCTACCATCATAACAAGTTGAGCAAATTTCAAGTATTTTAAGTCTTCTGGATATGGGACCATCGTAGGGTCCATCTGGCTTGACTGAGGATGCAGGATGAATGTTCATTATCAAAAGTTTCTTCAAAATATATTTAAAAATCACCTTGATTGTTAATGTAAAGTCTTTCAAGATTCGGAAAGTAATGTGCATGGTTCTTGAATATTGTTAGAGAATTCCAAAGGACTAATTGTTTAATATTGAAACCATTCTTTTCTATGCACGGCTCAATGTGTTTGAGTAAAACCATTTCGAGTTCATTACAATATTTAAAAACTGTTCCTGTGTCGCTATGGATTGGATTAAATAATCCTTTCAACGGTTTTATTTTTTTGATCAATGTAACGATATCTTCATGCTTTACTCTTTCACGAAATGTATCAGAAAAGTCGGCCACCTAAGGCAAAAAGAAGTACAACAAAATGAATATTGAGCAAACTATAAAGCTAGATTATCCAACAAACCATTAAATTTGGAAATAATGAGCTCAAACAAGTTCCATCAATTGGTTCGCCTGTTCGAAAATAAACCCAATCAAACGGATAACTTAGGCATGGTTCATCATTACGCCAATCTTGATGTTCTGAAAAAAATAAATTAGTTGAATGAAGGAATTAATTATTATGAAGAATAAGTAATGATAAAAGTTTGAGTCTTACCAATCAAATATTTAACTTTTCGCGTTCGATCTGCAATTAAATGGCTCCATTTACTGCATACTGAAACAAAAGAAATTCTTGAATCACTTGCAGAAAATATACATAATGCTGTTAATCAAGTCAAGTGATATTATTCAATAAATTGTTATAAACTAGATTAGAAAACTATAGGACTGACAATCCAATTGTGAGGTGAAACCATTTAGTTTAATGGTTTTAACTTAAATTAGATCAGAGTATCTGATTCTGAGATTTAATTCCCGCCTTGTTTAAGACAAACTTACCTTTAAAGCAGTTCAATAAATCATCCAATTCATTTATTAAATCAAAAATGATTAGCAAACAATCGTCTGGAAGTTCATTGATAAACATGGTAAAATCAATTAAGCCTAACTATTCACTTGTTAAAACAGAGATCTAGAGATGTGATTGATTTTAGTGAATATAAGCTTTAGTAGAATACCTGTAAACAAACATATAATTGAGAAAATTAAAGTTTATTAGAAGTAAATTAGATACAATTAAAAAATGGCACTTGTTTCAATAATATTTCAGGTTACGGGACGATTGTGAGTGTGAGATTTGGATCGAGGAAATGAGATCGGATCATGGATTTGATATTTATCTACCAAATTATCTATTAATTGAGATACATTGTATCAATAAGGGATTGAGAATAGTTAAACTGAATATTGCTCAATTAAATTCAGCAAAATTTTATGAAAAAGTGACCTTTACCATTTTTAAATACAAACTGCTGAATCTAAAGAGTGAAACTACTCTGAGTTACTCTGCATACAAGCGAAGTGGCTCCATTTGGGATTATCGGTATCCTTATTCATCTAAAAAGGTGAAATGAAATAAAGTTATGTAATACATGTTAGCTTAAAGACAATAAGATTTAACTTCTTCAGTCACTAATTGTCCACATTTTTATACGATTTCGAGATACCTTCCTAATTGATATCGTCAACGTATTTTTGTATTGAAGAAACAAATAGTTAAATGTGGGAGTTTGATTATTTAGTCTTCATTTGAGATTAAGAAAGTAGAAAGAAAAAGAAGATCTTTTAGAAAACAATTTTTCATGAAATCGAACCCTAGACTAATTTTTTCACTTTTAGTTGATAACTGAGGCCAATCTGATTGAATTTCATGGTAATTCTCATCAAAATAAAACTTGATTGATCGGCCATGTAGTTTATTATGATGTTGAACATAATTAGCAGCCTTCTGAGTTACTCTTGGACAACCACGAACAGCAAATAACACTAAATTGGGTAAAATGTCAACTAATTGCTCCACATGTTTATTTTCCAGTCTATCGTCGCTCCTCAGTGCAAGATGTTTAAGATTTGGATATTTCATAAATAATCTTTTCAGTTCATTCCAGTCCATCTCGTAATACTGAGAATATACAGATTATTTAATTAATGTAGATTAATCTCAGTGTTTGTGTTTGATTTGGGAAGATTTTAAAAACATTCCCCAAATAAAGAAATGAATTTCAAAGCAAACCAATACTTACAGATTGTAAAACTAAATCTTGCAAAGATTCATGTTTTAATGTGAAGGGTAGAGTTGCCCAAAATCATTCCAATCATAATCATTTGATAAAAATCATTTAATCATTTAATCTTTAATTTTCATTTTGTTTAGCTTGTAAGCTTATCATTGGGTAAAACATAAAAATTGGTTTTGTAAATTTTGTAATAATCCCTAACAATGACATCATAAGATTGTTTACTGTTGTCACAGTGATAATTGGTCAGAGCTTCTAAGCTTACACAATTATTCCTTTTCCTTTTTCTTTTGTTCTTTTCCTTCCGTTTAGTAACGTATATAATGGGTTCTCTAATTTGAGTTTAATTGTCTTTTAATTTGTCTTTAAGTATCGAAATGTTCTGAATCTTTGAGTATCTTTTGCAATTCTGATAATAAGTTGTTAACTTCATCTTCATGGTTTCTAAACCTTTCATTTTCATCTTTAAATTTGGGTTATAATTTGGTGTCTAAATAAATGTTTTCAGTTTATAAACTTCCAGTGTTCTTTTCTTTAATTTGTGCTTTCTAAGTATATTTTCCTAATTGATTCTAATCAATGCTTGAGATCACAGCTATTGAATTGTGCTCTATCCTTCTGATTATAATCATCGAGTTCAACTTCTCAGTTTTTAGCTGTTTTTGGTTAGAGTTTGGAAACTCATTTCAACTCTAAATTCATCTTTTGCTTGCTAAAGCTAATTGGTCAACAAGATAAGGGTTCAAGAGCTTCTAAGCTAACTCATCAGTATAAGTGACCAAACCAGTCGTATCCAGTTTCATTGTTTCAAGTAACATTTTTGGTCAACTTGTGGTTTCTAACCTTTGGTAATCCAGTCTAATCCAGCAATCGTATTCTTTAGTTTGTAAACTAGTGATCCTAAAAGAACCTGAACATTCAGGATTTGAAAGACTGAATAAATCTTCTGAGTTTGTTTGAATTCAACTTTAATTGTGATTAAAATTTAATTGTGTTTAAATCAACTCTACGTTTGTAAACGAATTGAACTGTTTAACCTTTCAAATGGCGACCTCGGCAGGATTGCTGTTTAATTCAACTATTCAATATGATTATTGTTTCATGGCTGGTGATAAAAATAAGAATGACGACGAGGTAAATTCTGATGGTGATGATAATCCTGATCAACCTCCAGTTAAAAATAAAGGTCAAGATAAAAGAAACAAAGGGAATCAACCTCGAGAAGTCGACCTTAGCTTAAAAGCTTACGATATTGTGCAAATGAGAAGTCAACTAAGAAATTGGAAAATAAAATTTGTTCAAAATGATGTTATCATTAAACGAAAATTTTATGATGCTGTTAAAACTTTGTTCGCTTTAAATGGTGATATTGAAGTTAATCAAGAAATTATGGAAGCTACTGATGCTAATCAAATCATACACCTCGATATACCCTCATGGATCACTGAATTAAGAGAAAACTCTGTTTCTGAAGCTGATATACGGGAAATAATTCATAAGTGTGGTGATAAACCAAAAACAATGCGATTGACTCCAGCTAATACAATTAAGAAGATGTCAATTGGTTCTCCTGCTAAACGAATTTTGGAATTAATGTTTCAGAAGTGGAATCGATCTGAGCTAACAAGCTCTGCTGCAGTTAAAACAACAATTGATCCTGGTGTTAACATAAGTGATTTAATTGGTTCTGAACGAACTCGAGATGAAGTTTTTGAAGACGAACAAGAAACTTTAGCTTTTCAGCCTAGTACTTCGAGACAAGCTGATAGAGCTGATGATGCTAGAAGCAGATATGCTGAACGTGATAGATCATTAGACCGAAATAGTGATAGTGATGAAGAGGTCAATAGACCGAGAAGTCAACGACGACAACCAACCGTCAATGCTTACAATAGATGCAAGCCTAAACTCCCGAAGTTACCTGAATATGTTCCGGGTACTGTCGATTCATGGATGTGGTTGCAAACTATTAAGCGGATATTGAGCTTGGAGAGATGTCACGACGACGACAAGCTGTATGTGCTTCAAAAAGCTATGGCTTACGAATTCCTGCCCTACGCAAAAGAGTTGGATAAAGAAAAGCATACATGCAAAACTTACATTACTGCACTAGAAAAGAAGCTGAGGAATCCTGCTGTTATTTCTCAAGCTACTGCTGATTTCCATAATTTGAAGTGGAACTTCGATATGAAACCGGACGAATTCATTCGTAAGTTAGAAACTATGGTTATCAAAGTTAAAGGTGAACCTTCACCTAGCGAGTTTATTCAAGATGTCTTGATACGATTGCCTACTGAGGTAAAGGACACTTTGATCCGGTCAAAGTCTGTTCATGATATTCAGGAACTAACTGCTGCGTTAGTAAATGAGTACAACATTGAGATGCGAAAACGCAATGAAAAAGGAGAGCATAAACGCGAATCTTTTCGACACGATAATAATCGTAGAGATAACAAAGATAATGAGAAGAAGGATGAGAAGAGGAATAATAATTCCAACTCCTTCAGTGCTTCTGCACGAAAGCCTCCTTTCAGGTGTTATAATTGCGGAATTTTGGGACATTCTTCGAGAGATTGTCGGAAACCAAGGAAATCTCATGGTGAAAAATCTGATTCTAATCATAGTGGTGGTAACAATCAGTCGAACCGTTTTCAGCCTGCTAATCTGAGAATGGCTAATGTGCAACCAACGTTTGGTCAAGGTCAATCAAATGCAAATTCAAATTCAAATGCTAATAAGCAGGAAACAGCAAATTATGTTGGCGAGAAGAAACCAGATGTACATGAAGCTAATGGCCCATTAGCTCGAGCACCGAATGCTTCCGGAATGTGTTTCATGATGAGCGAAAGTCATGAGAATAGGAAAGTCGAGTTAATAACAAACATTGACGATGAAATTAGGAATTTTCCTACGGTAAGGTTAACTTTTTGTTATCCTAATAAAGAAGTTATTAAAGTTGGCGACGTCCTAGTTGATACTGGAGCATGTACTGCGTGCATAGATTTAAATCTGGCGATGAAGCTTAAAGCTTTTACACTACAATCAAATGTAGCTGTACGTGGAATTATTGCAAATAGCTTTCAAGCTGTCGAAGGTGCTGCCTTCGCAATCTTTAAACATCCTAAGATGAAGGAATCAAGGGTAATCAAATTTCAAGTGATGAGAAATTTGGAACCTGTGATGGTTCTTGGGAATCGTTTTGCTGACGTATATTTTGCTGGTATGGTTAATTATGGTGGCCGATACCAAGTGAATTTGAGAGAAAAAGTTGGTAGTGAATGGCTCACTCCTGAGCTAATGTTTCGATTTTGTACGGCAGATGAATCAATGGAGTTAATTGGAAGGCCTGAAGTGCCTATGGTAAATAAAATTCCTGATATTCCCGAGGAAAGAAAGCCTGCTGATAACTTTCTTCCTGTTATGCCTTATTCGCCGTATGAAGATGAGGAAAATATTCCTGTGCAGTTAGAAGAGAGACAAAATTTCATGATGAATTTGTCTGAATCAAAGGAGTTTGACAACATTTTTCCAGTTATGTTTTGTCAAGAAAAACAAGCTGAATTGAGTCTAGAAGAAAGACTAATGAAGCGAATGGATGATAATCTGGATGATCAAAAGAAAATGGAATTGCTGAATGTGTTAATGCAGTTTCCTGAAGTATTTAGCCAATGCAAATCAGACCTAGGATGTGTTCCCTGGGAAAGATGGCCGATTAAAATCGATATTGGTGACAATCACGTTCCTTTTCAAAAGCCATATCCTTGTACGATTGAGAAAAGACAAGAATATGAAAAGATAATTGCTGATCTTTTGAAAAATGATATTATTGAGGATGGATCACAATCCGAAGGTGGTTCTCCTGCAATGCTGATTGGAAAACCTGATGGTACTTTTCGTTTGTTAAACGATCTTCGTGCAGTCAATAGACTAACAAAAGTGATTTATCATCCAATGCCGAGAATAGATGATTGCTTAGAAGCAATACGTGGTGCTAAATATTTTAATATGTTCGACCTTTATCAAGGTTATTTCCAGATTGAAATACCTCCAAGTGAGCGAAGTAAAACTGTGTTTGTGACGCCTGATGGCAAATACCAGTATAAGAGGCTACCGATGGGGTTAGCCTGTGCTCCTTTTGAATTTCAACGATTGATGAATACAGTGTTAAAAGGACTTAATTACACTGAATGTTTGGGATACTTTGATGACATCCCTGTTATTGGTAAATCATGGTCTAAGTTGTTAATAAACACGAGTTTAGTTCTTGAACGTTTACGAGATTGGAATCTCAAAATCAAGACTGATAAATGCAAATTTGGATGCAGTGAATTGATCTTGTTAGGACATTTGGTTAATGGCGATGGAATACGTCCTGATCCTGACAAAGTTGCCGCTTTAAAGCGATTACCATACCCTACAACTGTTCGACAGTTGCAATCGCAATTAGGGTGCTACAATTATTTTTCAAGGTATATTAAAAATTACTCGAATCTTGCTGCTCCATTGTATCGATTGATATCGAAAGAAAGAAAGTTTAAAATGTTACGTCAAGACCATCAAGCTTTGGATGAGTTGAAAAACTCTTTGATTGAAACTACAATGTTGGTACATTTCAATCCGAAATTAAGAAAGAAATTAAGCGTAGACGCTAGTGATGTTGCAGTTGGTGGAATACTGCTTCAAGAAGATGCTAATCTAGATGATATTCCTGATAATGAGGAACGAATTCCAATTGAGAAAGTTAAAAATTGGAAACCTTTATACTTCTTTTCACAGAAGTTGGCGAAGCATCAATTAAGTTATTCAGTTAGCGAGAAAGAATGTCTTGCAATTTTGGTTGCTGTTAAAAAATTTGATCATTATTTGGATGGTGATGAATTCTTGGTCGAAACCGATCACCATGCCCTGTGTCAGCTACCTAAGCTTCAGTTTAAGAATCAACGATTGAATCGATGGGCAATTATTTTGTCAAGCTACAAATTCAAAGTGATCTACACAAAAGGAGATCAACATGGCCCTGATTGTTTGTCACGTTATCAAAACGAAT